ATGGACATGAGTGGCGTGGAGGCGGAGGGCATGGCCGAGGAGGAGGCCTACTGGTGGCTGCAGACGACCGACTACCCGTGGGACAACACCTCGTGCGATGCCCTCACGTGCGGCAACGCGTCGGCCCTCGCGAACGCCTCGCAGCGCGTGTCGGCGCCGCAGCTGCACGCCATAGACCGCATCCAGTTCTGGGTGACGCCGGCGCTGGTGGCGTTCGGGTGCCTGGGCAACGTGGTGAGCGTGTGGGTGTTCCACTCGACCAAGCTGCGCACGCTGAGCTCGTCGTGCTACCTGGCCGCCCTCGCCGCCTCCGACACGGCCTTCCTGCTCACGCTGTTCCTGGTGTGGCTGTCCATGGTGGGCTACGACCTGCTCAACCAGCCCGGCTGGTGCCAGGCCATCAACTACGCCATCTACGTCAGCACCTTCCTCAGCGTGTGGCTCGTCGTCGCCTTCACCGTCGAGAGGTTCATCGCCGTGTGCTACCCGCTGCTGCGGGCGGCGGTGTGCACGGTGCGCCGCGCCCGCCTCGTCATCCTGCTGCTGACGCTGGCCGCCCTGCTGCTCTACTCGTACCTGCTGGTGGCGGCGGCGCCCGGCGTGCACACCGTGGCGCGCCGCACCATCTGCAAGCTGCGCGACGAGTACGTGGCGCTGGCCACCGCCATGAATTACGTGGACACGGTGCTCACGCTGCTGCTGCCCGTCGCCACCGTGGTCACGCTCAACGTGCGCATCGCGCGCTGCGTGTGGCACGTCGAGCGCCTCAGGCACTCCATGACGCTGGCGCACGCCCCACACACGCCCGCCGCCAGCCTGTGCCCCGGCGGGCGGGGCAGCCAGCCGCCCAGGGTCAGGTCGCAGAACAAAGTCACCAAGATGCTGCTCATCATCTCCACCGTGTTCATCCTGCTGAACCTGCCCTCGTACGTCATGCGCGCCTACATCTTCTTCTGGGTGAGTCCCGGGGGCACGAGGGCAAGGAAAAGAGGGAGAAAGAAAGGAAGAGAAAACAACAAGGGGAAGCTAAGCGTAAACACAAAAAGTTACTAGCCACTCAAATAAAGACATTTCTCCTTCAGACATAAAATTACGCGAACCCACCAACAAAGTTAACGAAGTTGCTAACCACTTGAATAAAGATATTTCTCCAACAGACACGAATTACGCGAACCCTCTCGCTCCATTTGGCGATGACGCAACACAGGAACCCATCGCCCTATTTCCCTTCCTCTTGACTCATCCTTCCTTCCTCTTGACGCCTCATCATTCCATCTTTATTCTTCTTCCCCTCTCCTTGATGTCTCCTTGCCTCCTACTGATTTTCTTTCCTCACACTCCTCTTTTATACTTCCTTCCCTCATTTTTACTGCTCTTTATACTTCCTTCCCTCCTTTCTATGCCTCTTTCCCTCCTCTATCCCTTCATCTGGTGCTTCTTTTCTCCTCAACACGCCTAAACTCATGCTTCTTTCACTGCCTCTATGCCTCTCCTCCTCTTATGCCTACCTCCCCCTCCCCCTTCCATCCCCCCTCCTACATCTCCCTCATCATAACGATCAACATTAACTAGCCAATGACTTTCAACACTAATTGCGTAACCGAACAGCGTAACTCTTTCGGCTTCGAACACGTCCCAAACACGTCCCTAACACGCCTCATGGGAGTCATCGTGGAGAGGATATATGCTCGACAATCGTTCAGGTTTGAATATTAATCCTGAGGAGGGTAAACTCTCTCTCTCTCTCTCTCTCTCTCTCTCTCTCTCTTCTCTCTCTTCTCTCTCTCTCTCTCTCTCTTTCTCTCTCTCTCTCTCTCTCTCTCTCTCTCACACACACACACACACACACACACACCACACACACACACACACACACACACACACACACACACCACCACAGACCACACGATCACAGAGAACGTGGAAGGAGACGGGTAAAGAGCGAATAAATGGGAAACGAACAAGGAGCGAAGGAATAGAGCGATACAGAAAGAGGAGAATAGGGGAAGGCGAAGGGAGAAAAACGGGAAACGATAAGGAGCGAAGAGAAAGGAAAGAGAGAGAAGGAGAATAAGGGACAGCGGGACTATAAGGAGGAGAGAGAGGGGGGGAAAGAAAGAGACATAAAGAAGAATAAGGGACAGAGCGAATAAAACCGGAAACCGCCAAGCTATCGAAGAAGGAAAAAGAAACAGACAAAGGAGAATACGAGACAGAGCGAATAAAAACCGGAAAACGACAAATAGCGAAGAAGAAGGAAACAAAGAGAGACAGAGAAGGGAGAATAGAAGACCGAGAAGGGATAAAAAGGAAGGCGGGGGTGAAACGCAAGGTAGGCGAGGAGGCGAGGGCGGCAAAACAGCCAACCGCGGTGATGACATTATTGCAATCCCTTCAAAGCGGAAGGCAAGTTGCTGCTCGCGACCACGTTCATTAAACACCGTCAAAAGGCTCTCCTCCTTATCGGCCTCTGCTGCTTACCTCTGTTTTCCCTTCCTTCGGCTTGTTTGTTGTTGTCTGCGTTTTCTGTTTTTCCGTTTTCCTTGTTCCTTCTGTTTTTTTTTCTTTTCTATTCTTTTTTGTGACTTTTCTTACGTTTTTTTTTTTTCTTCTTGCTTTCTCTTTTTTCTTTCTTTCTTCTTCTTTTATTTTTTTCTTTCTTCCTTCTTACTTCTCCTTCTCTTGGCCCACACACTATTTTAAAAATCCTCCCCACACCATCTTTAATTTCCTCTCACTCCTTCTTCCACTTCCACATAGTATCTATCCACTTCTACCTCTTTTCCACTGCTCCAGATCAGATCCACCATCCATCACCTCCACAGGGCCTTCTTTCTCCACTCACCAGCACTCCTAATCCTCTCTCCCTTCTCCACCAACCGCGCCTTCTATATCCCTTCCACCTCTACCACCACCTTCCTCTCTCCCTTTCTCCAACACACCACTTCTCTTTCCCTTCTCCACCACCACCACCTTCCTCTCTCCCTTCTCCACCACCAACTTCTCTCCCTCTCCACCATCTCTCACCCCCACCTTCCCTATCATTCTCCACATCACACTTTCTCTCTCCCTTTTTCCACCACTCCACCTCACCCCCCATTCCCTTCCATTCTCCCTTCTCCCCCCACCTTCCCTATACCTTCCTCCCTTCTCCCTTCTCCACCATCTCCACCACCACCTTCCTCTCTCCCTTCTCCACCACCACCTTTCTCTCTCCCTTCACCACCACCTCCCGCATTACCTTCCTCTCTCCCTTTTCCACCACCTCCTCCACCATCCCCAGATGACGTTGATCACGATAGCATAAATAAATAAATATAAACACAACACGAATAATAATAATAAAGATAAATTGCCAATCTACTGGCGCGATTCGGGTAAGGAAGAGAGCGGTTGCCGTGACGACGTGGGAGGAGGGAGAAGAGGAAGGGAGAATAGAGGGAGATGATGAAAGGAGGAGGAGGGAGAAGAGAAGGGAGGAGGGAGAGATGAGCAAGAGGAGGAGGAGGGAGAAGAAGGAGGGAGGAGGGAGGAGAAGAGGAAGGGAGGGAGGAGGGAGAAAAGAAAGCGAGGAGAAGGGAGATGAGGAAGGGAGAAGGAGGGAGAAGAGGATAGGGGAAGGATGATAAAACGAGGAGGAAGGAGAAGAAAAAACGAGGAGGAGGGAGATGAGAAAAAGCGAGGAGGAGGGAGAAGAGAAAGGAAAGAAGAACGAAACAAAATGCCATGATTCGTTTCTCTTTTTTCCCCCAAAATCCTCTTGTACACAAAAGCCGCGATATTGCCGACCCCGCATTGTTCCCGCGCAAAGTCCCGATTCTTCCGCCGAGGCAGCTTTGGCGGCCGCGTTCTGAAGCGATCCCAATCCGAATCCGGGAATACGATAACGTTACAGACTCTGGAATCGTTACAACAACTAAATGGAAAAAAAAACGAAAAGAAAAACTAAACTACGATGACTAAAAGGAAGAAAAAAACGAAAAGAAAAACTATATAATCATATATATAAATAAAAATAATTGAATAAATAAGTAAATAGTTAAATGAAAGAAGGGAAGAAAAATGTGTAACACGATGACTAAAAGGAAGAAAAAAAACGAAAAGAAAAGATATAGAATCATATATATGAATAAAATTAATTGAATAAATAAGTAAATAAATGAAAAAAGGGAAGAAAAATTTATAACTTGACCAAGGAAAAAAACGAAAAGAAAAAATATATAATCATTTATAAAAATAAAAATGATTTAATAAATAAATAAACATATATATAAAAATGGAAAGAAAAATATATAACTATATACAAATAAAAATAAATGAATAACGATAACGTTTAGAGACTAAAATCTTTACGAGAACTACGATGACTAAACGGAAAAAGAAAAATATATAATTATATATAAATAAAACATAAATTAATAAATAAGTAAATAAACATATCTATACAAATAACATAAATGTCATGTAATTTTCAATAGTTTAGCTGTTTAAGCGTATTTTGTAGGAATCATATTACATCTATCTGTCTATCTGTTTATCTGTCTATCGATCTTTATTTCTATCTATTAGACTATTTATCTACCTATATATAGAGAGAGATAGGGGAAGGAGAAGAGAATAAATGAGAGGAGAGAGGAAAGGAGAGAACAGAAAAGATAACATAAAAGATTAAGAAAAAAGAAAGAAGTGAAGGAAAATGAGAAAAAAAGAAAAGGCATGAGTGTGCGTGTGTGCGTGTGTGCTTGAAGGTGTGCGTGTGACATCAGTGTGTACTAATGAGTGCGCGTCTGAGATCCGTGTGTACTAATGAGTGTGTGTGTGACATCCGTGTGTACTAGAGAGAATGCCTGTGAATTCCACGAGTACTGAAGAGTGTGCATGTGACATCTGCGTGTACGAGAGTGTGCGCGTATGAATTCCATGTATACTAAAGAGTGTGCATGTGACAAGTATCTATACAAGACACTGTACGTATGAAATCCATGTTTTCTAAAGAAAACATGCACCTGCCATCCACGTGCACCACAGGACGCCCACGTGACATCCACCCACGTGACCTCCACCTTACCCTAACGAGAGCGCGCCCCTTGACCTCCGCGTCTCCGAACCAGCCGATCCCGCATCAAAACAAAACGAGCCAAACAACGCCCATTGTCAAGAGGTTGTTTATCGAATCGCGGCGCCAAGGAGAGAGAAAGAGAGAGAGAGAAAGTCTTCTGTTTGCCTCGCCGCCATTGTCTCGCGCGCTCGGGCCAGCTGGACGCCGACCGCGGTTCCTCTTCGCCTCTTGCTTCTCTCGCTTCGTTTCGGGTTTTCCTTTTTGCTTCTTTATTCGCTCGGTTCGACTTTTCCCCTTATGTTTATCTATTTGTTTCGACTTTTACTTCTCTCGCTTCGTTTCGGATTTTCCTTTTTCGTTCGGTTCGACTTTTCCCTTTATTCATGTTTTGACTTTTTGTTACGACTTCTCTTGCTTCTCTCGGTTAGTTACGAGTTTTCCTTTTTGCTCTTTTGTTCGGTTCGGATTTTTTCTTTATTTATTTGTTTTGACTTCTCTTGCTTCTCTCGGTTCGTTTCGAATTTTCGTTTTTACTTTTTTTGTACGGTTCGATTTTTTCTTTTTATTTATTTGTTTCGACTTTTCTCTTTACCTCTTTGTTTGTTTCGACTTTTCCTCTATTCGCTTCATTTTCATTCATTTGTTTCAGCTTTTCCTCTTATTCGTTGGTTTAACTTTTCCTCTTATTTACTTGTTTCGACTTTTTGCTTTTATCATTTGTCTCGACTCTCTCTTCACCTCTCTATTTACTTCGACTTTTCCTCTCCTTCACGTTCTGACTTTTCTCTTACTTATCCATTCGTTTTCCTCTGATCTATTTGTTTCGACTTCTCCTCTTACTTCTCTATTTACTTTGACTTCTCTTCTTACTTCTCTCCTTATTTCGACTTTACATATTATCTCTCCATTTGTTTGGGTTACTTGTGTTATCTGACTTTTACTATCTTGTAAATATGCGCTTGTGTGTGCGTGCGCGTGCTTGTGTCTGTGTACGCGTTTGTATATGCGCTTGTGTGCGTTAATATGTACGTGTACATATTAACGTACGTGCTCGTACTTTCCACAACATATTGGTCCAACAGAAATCCCAAAAACATTTTTTTTTATCTCCTTAGAAATCCAATTCGCGCGAAATAATTAATAGCGCTGGCGACCACCTAATTAATTATATATTATCCCTCTCTACTCAAACGCAAAATTCCCGCTGATTAATTGACCGTCGTGATCTTGGCGAAGCGCGAAGTGAGGGGCAAATGAAGTACAATGAGAGAAATGAGAGAGAATGGAGGGAGGAGTGGGAGGGGAGGGGAGGGGGAGGGGGTGAGGAAGGAGGAGAGGGAGGAGATGGGGAGGGGGAGAGGGGGAAGAGGGAAGGAGGAGTGGGAGAGGAGGGAGGGTGGGAGGAAGGAGTGGGGGGAGTGAGTGGGAGAAGGGGGAGGTGGAGGATGGAGTGGGAGAGTGGGAGGGGGAGGAAGGAGTGGGAGAGGAGGGAGGGGGAGGAAGGAGTGGGAGAGAGGAAAGCGGTGCGGGAGAGGGCGAGAGAGAAAAAATCAGAAAAGAAAGAGAAGAGAGAAAAGACAGAAAAAATATACAAACCAACTAAACAAACAGTATGATAAAAAGGGAGAATGGAACACAGAAAAGATAAGGGTGAGGAAGCAGAAGAAGAGAAAGTGGAGGAGGAATACGAGCACGACGAGGAGGAGAAATAATAATAATAAGAGGACGACTAGGAGGAGAAAGAAAAGGAAGAGGAGAAGGGGGAGGAGGAAAAAGAAGAAGAGGAAGAGAAGGAGGAGGACGGGAAGCAAAAAGAACAGGAGAAAATATGCTGTGTGTGTGCGTGCGTGCGTGTGCGTGTGTGTGCGTGTGTGTGTGTGTGTGTGTGTGTGTGTGTGTGTGTGTGTGTGTGTGTGTGTGTGTGTGTGTGTGTGTGTGTGTGTGTGTGTGTGTGTGTGTGTGTGGTGTGGTGTGGTGCGTGCGTGCGTGCGTGCGTCGTGTGCGTGCGTATGTGCGTGCGTGCGTGTGTGTGTGTGTGTGTGTGTGTTGTGTGTGTGGTGTGGGTGTGGTGTGTGTGGTGTGTGTGTGTGTGTGTGTGTGTGTGTTGTGTGTGTGTGTGTTGTGTGTGTGTGTGGTGCGTGCGCGTGCGTGCGTGCGCGTGCGTGTAGCGTCGATATGTGCGTGCGTGCCGTGTGTTGTGTGTGTGAGGCTGAAGCTAGACCGGGACTCTTAAGGGGCGCGGATGAACGTGGATAAAAGTAACGTGGACGCAAGAGAAAACTCCGTGGAACCGAAATTTGGCACGGAGTGAGGAAGGAGCGTGGGCGTGAAATGGGACGGCGGACTCAACCAGTATCGGAACAACACAACCCCATCAGATAAACGAAGTATATTAATTGACTGGATAAACCTTGAAGACACAGTAAACAACCCCTCGTAAGAGGACGCGCTCATGTCCGACGGAAACACCTTTATCGACAGAACCTGCCACTCACTGCAGTACGGGTACCCTAGCGACAATACGCCACCGCGACTGAGAGCGGCTGAAAACAGTGGTCAGAGCACGGCGGAAGGTCTGACCAGAGGCGAGACGCGCGGCCCTGAATGTCATCCTTGATGACCGCTGAGAAGATTCAAAATCCAAGGGAGGAACAATTCGGGACGTAGATCTACTACGAGAGTTCCTCGTCCTGTCGTGAGGCGGGCCGTGCGTTGGATCTGATGCCACGAAGCGCGATGGACGAGCGTTAAAGTGTAAAGGGGAGGGGACGAGGGATAGTAGAGGGAGAAGAGAGGGA